GGCAGGTTTGAGGAGGAGGGATTCGGGGGGAATGCAGGGAAATGGGGGGCGGTTTCCCGGGAACTTTGGGGTGAATCCGGGCGGATCGGGGACATTTTGGGGGGTTCCTTGGGGCTCCCTTTGGGAGGATTTGGGGTGAATCTGGTGGGATTTGGGGCGTTTTGAGGGGGGGGACCCCGGGGGTGCCAGCTCCTCAGTGTCCCCAATGTCCCCAACTCCCCAATGTCCCCAATGTCCCCCAACTCCCCAATGTCCCCCCGTCCCCCCAACTCCTCAATGTCCCGAATGTCTCCCCAATCTCCCCAACTTCTCAATGTCCCCCCAACTCCCCAATGTCTCCAACTCCTCCGTGTCCCCAATGTCCCCAACGTCCCCCCAATGTCCCCAGTGTCCCCCTAACTCCTCGGTGTCCCCAATGTCCCCCCAGCGCTGGCCGAGATCCTGAGCGTGAAGGACATCGGCGGGGGGCGCAAGCTCTTCTACGTGCACTACATTGACTGTGAGTGTGGGGACACCGGGGGGGACACTGGGGGGGACACATGGGGGCCACCAGGAGGCCATTTAGGGCCACCAGGCTCTTCAAGGCCACCAGGAGCAGGTCACAGGGCCACCCGGAGCAGGTTTGGGGCCACCCAGAGGGCACTGAGGGCCACTAGGAGGTCACTGAGGGCCACCAGAAGCTTCAGGGACACCAAGAGGAGGCCACAGGGCCACCAGGAGGCCATTGAGGGCCACCAGGAGGTCACTGAGGGCCACCAGAAGCTTCAGGGCCACCAAGAGGAGGCCACAGGGCCACCAGAAGTAGATTTAGGGCCACTCAGAAGAGGTTCAGGGCCACCAGGAGGCCATTGAGGGCCACCAGGAGGTTACTTAGGGCTACCAGAAGCTCCAGGGCCACCAAGAGGAGGCCACAGGGCCACCAGGAAGCCATTGAGGGCCACCAAGAGGCCATTTAGGGCCACCAGAAGCTTCAGGGCCACCAAGAGGAGGTCTCAGGGCCACCAAGAGGCCATTGAGGGTCTCCAGGAGACCACTTGGGCCACCAAGAGGAGGTTTGAGGCCAGCAGAACCTCCAAGCGACCCCCGTGTCCCCCCCGCCGTGTCCCCCCCGCGCTGTCCCCAGTCAACAAGCGGCTGGACGAGTGGGTGACGCCCGAGCGCTTGGACCTCAACAAGATCCAGCTGCCCAAGAAGGAGGCCAAGACGCCCACCAAGAACGGGCTGCCCGGCTCGCGGCCCGGCTCGCCCGAGCGCGACCCCGTGAGTGACGCAGGGGGACATTGGGGGACATGGGGGGACATAGGGGACATGTGGGGATATGGGGGGACACGGAGGGGACAGGGGGGTATGGGTGGGGACACGGGGGACAGGGGGATATGGGGGGACACAGGGGGTGGCCCTGGAGCCCCTGGGGACCTTCCCGGAGCCTGGGACATCCCTGGAGCCCTCGGGGACACCTGGAGCTCTTGTTCTATACGGTCCCTGGTGTTCTATATGCTCTACATTGCTCTGTACTCTACACTGTGTTATACAGTCTATACTGCTCTATATGGCCCATACTGGTCTTTGTGGTGTGTAGAGCTTTATATGGTCCGTACTGGTCTGTATGGTGCATATTGCTCTATACAACCCATACTGCTCTGTGTGGTCTGTATTGCTCTATATGATCCATACTGCTCTATATGTTGTATACTGCTCTATATGGTTTATATTGCTGCATACGGTTCATACTGTTTTATACATTCTATACTGCTGTATACGGTCTGTATTGTTCTATGCATTCCATACTGCTCTATACAACCCATACTACTCTATACGGTCCATATTGTTCTATAGGGTCCATACTCTGTATGGTCCATACTGCTCTATACGTTTCATATTGCTGTATACGGTCTCTATTGTTCTATATGGCCCATACTGCTGTATGCATTGCATACTGCTGTACCTGGTCTGTATTGTTCTATATGGTCCATAGGGCTCTATACATTCTATACTGCTCTGTATGGTCTGTATTGTTCTATATGGTCTATAATGCTCTATACATTCCATACTGCTCTGTATGGTCTCTGTTGTTCTGTATGGTCCATAGTGCTCCATACATTCCATACTGCTCTGTATGGTCTGTATTGTTCTATATGGTCTATAGTGCTCTATACATTCCATACTGCTCTGTATGGTCT